AAGTTAGTCTGTTTTGTTCGCTCGAGATGGAAAGAATTTATAGTTGAGAATGCTTCGTGACTTGGACGAATGTTGATGTGAAGGGAATACGAAAGAGTGATGGTGCCCGTGAGATATTTTGTTACGAATTAAGCGAGTGTTCCTTGTATCAAGCACAGATTGCAATAATTGAAAGTTCGGACAATTAAAAATTTCGTTATTTACGCTGAAAGAAAGACATTTTTAAGGAAAACGCACACGCCAAGATTTAATTTAAAACTATTTAGAATACTATAGCCGATATTAATATTTTTTATATCCATTTTAAAAGATGTGTACGAGATACTATATAAATTAATTATTAACTCATCACATAGACTTCATTTATTCTGTGAAAAACTTTAATTTACAAAGTTACTTGCTGTCAGTTATTTTACCTAGATTTCTTTTTGGTAAAAGAGATACTTTTGGGGCGACAGATAAATCAAAAAGTTCCCAGAGGAAAATTCGTAAATTTCAAGAACAACATACAAATTCGTTGCTTCTTTGTGACTTATTTTCTATATACTTAGCTCAATATCGTCATGTCATTGCAAAGCATTCACTTACATGTAATCGTGCACGTTTATGTTGACGAGGAAACATTGTGAACACTGTCCAAAACTTCCTCCACCAAATAATTTAAATGAGACGTGTACGCACAATGGAACACATAAGTAAGATGAACAGCTCTCCACGGATATTCAAACCCATATTTAGCAACTGCAATAACTGTAGTTCGGTGTTTCTTTTTTTCTTCAAATAACAGACAACTTACAAGATATTTAGAACTATTTGCTAGATATTTTAACAATAATATGATTCATCGCGTGATAAAAATTAGCGCTTAATCAGATGATACCAAGTATCGATAGAAAACAATTACAATAGTTCATGTGTAATGTACTTACGTTTTTAAGATCGTAAGCAAACATTTAGGAATAGAGATAGAAAATTAATGGATGGACGAGATTAAATTAGTTGAAAGTCATAGTGAAAAATCGTGGAAGATATTTTTCTAGAAAAATTGACCTTTGTGATTAATTTGCTTTTTAATTTCGCTTAGGTGTATTGCGCGACAACAGAAACACAAAGAATGTATTTGACCACGTGCAAAAACTTTTTATGGATATAATGCGAACATATTATTTACATGAAACATTCTTGAATGTGAAACATTCGTTCATTAACATTGCAATGACGAACGATTATGATAATTACGTTGGTAAGTTTAAAGGAAATGCGAAAATATATGCACAAATTGCAAGATCATATATCTTTCGTAGAGATCACAAAAATATTTAAACAGCGATCTACTACACATCTACGTATAAGTTTCTTTACTCTTTATACTTATAGTAAGATACTTAAGACAACTTTTTTACTAAATATATGTTCTCAACAAATGTATCGTAACTTGTACAAATACTTTCACATTGGTCTGAAGTTTGATTGATCCTAGCTGTCCTTCATTGTGGTGTAAATGAAATTTGAAGTATTCGAAAATTCTTTTTCACGATAAGCATTAGAATATTTTTAACTACCACACGTGCATATAACAACGAATATATAAAGTTTCCTTACCTAACAATTTCAAGTAAAATAGCAGTGTGCTGTATCACATGGTACACAATGATTCAGTGCCTATAATTAAAACAGCGCCTAGGAAGTATATGATTCTTTGCTATATCGCCATCAGAGACAAATATTTCAGTCTGTGTATCTATCTAAGTAATATGCCACCGATGTGAAAGGTTTATGGGATAGAGATGTGTTGAATGCTAAGGGAACGTCGAAGATTTTAGAAAGAAATTGTAATAGTATTAACATTATTGTAATAGTATTTTCTGTAATAACATTAGTCAAAGATTTTGTACGACACTTTCTGTTTTAATCTAGCTAGCTATAGCATAATAATGAGCACGGTTAGCCAATTATTATTGTATAGCCAATTGTCTTTGCAAGTGGTGAGCCTCAGTCTATGTAAGGGGAATGTAAGGGGAACAATTTCGTTTCAAGAAAGAAGTAAAATCTTCTTTTTCGCAGTCCTTTCTCCGTTACTTTGTAAATTGTTTATTATTTATGGTACGATTATTGTTGCAGCGTTTGTTTGTGACCGTAGAAAGCCACCCAGCATCATTCGCTTCGCTTTAAAATAGTGATTCAAGAATAGTTACTTCATAGAGTTATTAATAAGAATCTCTATTAAACACAATTTCACTATTACACGGTGATGAAAAATATTTCGTTTTCAGTTTGCGTTTCTTTATACATTCTCCAAATATACAAATCAGCGTCACGATTTTTTATTTTCATAACTACGAGTAAGAAGAAATTGATACCTGCTGTCAATTCGTAAGGCGCTATTTATTCTGAATGAGGCTTCTGAATAGCAAAATTAGATCAGATCATAAGATTCACTAAATAGCTGCTCCTGTTGAAATAAAATTAAAGCACAAAATTTTCAGTTTTTTCGAAATTAACAGCCTGTAACTAGGAATGATAGCCAGTACACGTTTTTTTGTGTGTAGAAACTGAACTTTTTATTGAGTGCTATTTAATTGAATATTTCTTGCATCATCATCGAACAGAGTATTACTGCTGCATGGACGAAATCATCATAAAATACGACACTGAGGTTTTCAGCAGCTGAAAGATAAATCATTTTCACAGATCACTGTACCTACGTTAACTAAGAAATATTAATTAATATTAATTATAAACGAATACCGTTGAAAAGCCCTCTACTGTGGCGGTGTAACAATTGAAAATGTTGAACGAGAATGTCTTGCTGGTTCTCAACATCATGTTCAACAATAGCTTTTGCGTTGCTACAGTAGTTTCGTACCAGTTGTCGTGGAAACTGAAACCATTGATAAAATTTCTTCTGGCACACATTCAAAGTACTGCTTAGTGATCGAATGCTTACATTTCCATGGAAAAGTTGTTATAGTAATCATACACTTCTTCGCACAAGTAATTCATGCAATACATATACACTAATTCGCAAATGATATATAAGATGCTGGCAAGTGCTTCTTCGAATTCGGATGAAAGTAATTCGGATTGCGATGTGGACAGCTGGAAAATGAGTAAAATCTTGGAATCAGGCGTTTCTCCTTTCGACAAATTAGTACGAAGACCGGATTGTAAACATAGGTGTAGTTTTGAGGGCCACGAAAAATAAACGGAAATTTCATTGTCTAATATATGCACGAATATACTTACGCGAAATAAATTAATTGCTAGAGAAGTGATAGCAAGCAAAAGGAGGACAGCATATGCGAGTGCGTTATTGTCCTGCATCTCCTTAATATATCTACGAGAACGAATGGTGATGGAATTAAATAACGATTTTATAAAGAAAGTAATAAGTGAGTACTGACTCTAGCCCTCTCGTATGGGCGATTACGGCTTTTGCT